CGGGAGACGGCGTTATATATCAAGATGTATTCAGATGAGCTGGAGCATGAAGATATGAAAAGGTGGCTGGAGGGGCGGCTTGAAAAGATCCTGGATATCCAGCGTGTCCTGGACCAGTGGCAGATCTGGACCGGAGCATGAAAAGCCAGAGTGGTCCTAGAAGAAGATCTGAGACACCCCAGTGGGGTAAGGCACCTGCCCTCCCTAGTGTCCAGTGACGTACCACGGCCAGCCGAAGCTGTGTAGCAGGTGCGGCGTGGAGGGCCACATAGCTGCCTTCTGTAGTCTGACGGTTTGCTACAGGTGTGGCGGCATGGGGCACCGGACCAAAGCCTGTAAGGAAAAAGTGGAGTGCACTTTGTGTGGAGGTGAGGGGCACCTGCAGCGTCAATGCCCCCTGTCCTACACCAACAAGGCACGAGAGAATCACGCAACAGGGGAGAGGAGCGGAGAAACTCCGGGAGACGAGGAGACCAACATTTTAGATGCAGGCACCCGCATAGTCGAGGAAACACCGGAGGTGGAGCGGAGAAACGACGTGATCGAGGCAGCCAGCCAGCTCACCGTGTCGGAAGAAGAGCAAGAGATGGAAGAAGAGCTGAGTGAGGGAGAGGGTGAGGAGACACAAATATCTGAGCCAGCAGACATGGACCTGGAACTGGCTGGGGATCAGGGGAAAGAGGCTTCTTCGGTGAAAAGAAAGAAGGAATGGAGTCCAAAGCCAAAGAAAAAGCGGCTAGAGGTGGAAGGGGGAAAGGTCCAGGAGACAGAAGGGGGAGCGCTGGAAACAGCAGTGGGAACGAGCGGGAAGATGCCTGTGAAGGAACAAAAGGTTGAGGAAGGGAAGGGGAGGAAAGTGATAGTTACCTGAGCTCCTCTGCGATTGACCTTTTGGTCAGGACTATGGGAATGCAGAAAGGTGGGGGAGACACCTCAGATTTAAGTAGCGACACGGACGACATCTGATGTAGGGTTTACTCTTCTGGAAAACAGCCTGGATGGCATTGACCGTGGCATCTTTAAATGTACGAAGGTTATACGGGAAGCAGAAATGGGAAACAATGTCAAAACCCTTAAGGGAGCTGCACACACAAGTGTTGTGCTTGCAAGAGTGCGGGATCCCATGGGGGAGAAATTATAAATATTTGGAAGAGCGATGGGGGGTTGGACCGTCGTAGTGGCGGGGTTCAAATGAGAACAAATCAGCGGGAGTGGGAATTCTGGCAAGGGAAGGCAGTTGGAAAATCAAAGGCCAGCAGGTCTTGGAAGAGGGAAGACTACAGAAAGCAGTGGTGGAGGTGGAGGGCGTGGATGTGACTGTGTACAATGTCTACGCCCCAGCCAAGGATGCGGAGAGGATGCCCTTTTTGCATAAATTGGGGATGTGTGTGGGGGGTGGAGGACTGCGGATTGTGCTGGGGGATTTTAATTGCATTGTTGAAGAGGGTGGGCGAATTGGAATAGGGCAGGGAGTCGGGATGGGTAGTACGGGGAAGTGGCTGCAGGGGTGGATTAAAGACGAGGGGCTCCAGGACATTTGGGAAGGGTCAGGGGTGTTTACTAGAGTGGATCTGGGAGGATGGGGGCAATCAAGGATTGATTTTGTGCTGGTGTTGGAGGGGTTGGAGATCCGCAGGAAGCGACTGATCGATGTGAGTTTCTCAGATCATCGCGTGCTGTGGGTAGAGGTGGGCATCGGGCAGGGGCTCAAGCAGGGGAAAGGAGTCTGGAAACTAAATGCCTCGTTATTGGATGATCCCCAGGTATGCATTGCCTTTCAAAGGGCGTATCGCCAGTGGCAAACCTTGCAACCCTTTTTCCCAACCCGGTGGGACTGGTGGGTAGAAATTAAGGGGCGCGTGCGAGAGTGGTTCGATGACGCGGGGAGGAGAAAGGCACGACAGAAAAAGAAGGAGCTGGCACGCTTGCAAGGAGAAGTTCAAAGATTGTGGGAAGAGTTGAAGAAGGGGGAAGCAGTGAAGAGAGAATGGGAAAGGGCGAGAGAGGGGGTGAACAAGTGGTTCCGGACCAGGACGAAAGAACGGATGTTCCTGGCCAAGGCGCAGTGGGTGGATGAGGGGGAGGAATGGGGAAGGTTTTTCGCTTTACGAGTGAAAAGCAAAAAGCGGGTGATGGAGGCGCTTTGCACTGCCGACGGAGGAAGGGTGGAGGATGTGGAAGGGGTCTTGCCGGAGGTGACTAGATATTATGAGGATTTGCTTCATAGGAAAGCGGTGAGGCAGGAACAAGTGGAGGGACTGGTGGGGAGTTTGGAAAGAAAGGTGGGGGAGGAAGGGAGAGAGAGTCTGAGGAAAGAATTGACGGAAAGCGAAATGCTGGGCGTCCTGAGAGCAATGTCACTAAAGAAGACACCGGGAGGAGACGGGATCCCGGTGGATTTCTACAGGGAGTTTTGGGACTTAGTGAAGGGGGATCTCTTGGCCCTTTTTAAGGAATTCATGGCGCGGGGTCAGGTAGGGGAGGGCTTTGCCCAGGGTGTCGTGGTCCTGATTTACAAGAAAGGGGGACGGGAGCACATTAAGAACTGGAGGCCAATCTCCTTGTTGAATGCCGATTATAAATTATTCTCCAAGATCCTAGTGGCGAGGTTGGGGGCGGTGTTACCGCAGGTGCTGGGTGAGGAACAGATGTGCGCAGTGGGGGGCGGCGAACAACACAAGCACTCTGGGTGCTTCGGGACACGCTGTCATATGTCATGGAATGAAAGTGGAACACGCTAGTGGCAAGTCTTGACCTGCAAAAGGCGTACGACAGCATTGGACATGAGTTTCTGTTTCGGGTCCTGGAAGGGATGGGGATGCCGGGAGAATTTGTGGGGTGGGTGCGGGCACTTTATGGAAAGGCTACGAGCAGGGTGTTGGTGAGGGGCTTCCTGGGGGAAGCTTTTGCAGTGGACTCGGGGGTGAGACAGGGGTGCCCGCTGTCACCGGGGCTCTTTGTCTGCGCCATCGAGCCTCTGGCACAACAGATCAGGGGGGATAGGGTGATTAGCGGGGTGAGAGTGCCGAGGGGAGGAGAATTGAAAGTCCTCCTATACATGGATGATGTGACATGTGTAGTAAAGGACGAGGCGTCCCTGGGAAGAGCCTTGAAGCACGTAGACGAGTTTGGGGAGGCATCCGGAGCGAGGCTGAACGTGGACAAGAGCGGAGTGCTTGCGGTAGGGAATTGGGGGGAATTGAGAAACCTTGGGCTACGGGTGGAAAGAGAGGAACTGAAGATGCTGGGCGTCTGGATGGATATCCAGGGGAAAGGGAAACGGGCTTGGGAAGCGTTGGAGGGGAGAGTGAAGCAGATGGTGGGGTTGTGGAGCACACGGGGGTTATCATCGAGGGGGAAGGTGCAAGCGATTAAACAGTGCTTGCTGCCGCTAATCCTGTACACGGCGATGGTGTACCCCCCGTCCTGGCGACAGTCCCGGTGGCTCCGGCGGGCCTTGTGCCTTTTCTTTTTGGGGGGAAGACAGAGAAAGTGGCTAGGACAGAGATATATAAGGAAGAGGGGTTGGGGGGATGGGGCTTCCCCAACATAGAGACCTTTGTTTACGTGCACTTTTTGAAGCTGGTGGTGAGGGAAGCGAGGGGAGCAGCGGGCACGGTTACCAATTTCTGTAGGTTCTGGGGGGGAAGGCTCCTGAGAAGGCTGGGCCTGTTCGGGAGTGCGTGGCAGGGAGCGTGGGCTGGGCAGATGTCGCTGCCCTACGCCCGACTTGGAGCCTTTGTTGCACAAGAAGGATTGGAGGGGTTAGGAATCGAGGGGCTGGGAGATGCCAAAAAGGTCTTTAATTTCCTGAGAGGAAAGCAGAGGATGTTGGATGTTGGGGAATTGAGACCGGAGCAAGTCAGTAGGGTGTGGAAAGGACTGGTGGGGAAGGACTGGAAAGGGGAGCATGAGGAGCTGGCGTGGAGGGCGGTGCGAAATGCTCTGCCAGTGCAACAGGTGCTCTATCGCTGGGGACTCTCTCGGTCCCCCAAGTGCCCAAGGGAGCTCTGTGATGAGCCCGAGTCAGTGACACGTGCTGTGGGACTGCTTTGACGCACAACGGGTGTGGGGGAAGGTGACTACCTATTTGAAGGATACGGGAAGGGGAAAGGGGGTGACTTCCAGAAATGTTCTCTATGGCTTATCAGAGGGGACAGATGGGACATGGGGGTGAGGGTCTTAATCACCTGCACCAAAGTAGCACTATGGAAAGTACGCTCTTTGTTGACTCTAAAGGGGTCGTGCTTTTCCACGACGGAGTGTCTGCAGTTAGCAATGCACGAGCTGCACTTCTATAGAGCTAGAGAAGGAAATACAAAAGAAGGAGGGGAGAAAATATTTTGGCAAGAGCTGGACTTCAGGGGGTTGTTTCAGCCCAGCACTGGTATAGGCTAAACTAAGAGACAGCTTGCAGTTAGCAATGCACGAGCTGCACTTCTATAGAGCTAGAGAAGGAAATACAAAAGAAGGAGGGGAGAAAATATTTTGGCAAGAGCTGGACTTCAGGGGGTTGTTTCAGCCCAGCACTGGTATAGGCTAAACTAAGAGTCAGCCTTTGTGGGTAGAAAAGGCTGGCTAGGGTCGTACATGGGGTAGAGACAACAAAGGGACCTGAATGTTCTCGCTTTTCTTTTTCCGGGAAAGTACAGGATGTCTAACACGATACGTGTAATATGTGTTCACTACTCAGAGATGTTTGTATAGACTGTGTAAAAAAAATGAGATGACGTGCAATATGATACCAATTCCGATGTCTTTTTAGTATGTTATTTGGCATGTTGTATTATCCTTTTGTGAGGCCCCTCTTGGAGGTCGTTTTGGAGCCTTTTGTTACGGTCTGGTTTTCTAATAAAATGTTTTTAAGAAGAAAAAAAAAAAGCATGTTTCTTTAAGGGGATTTTGATCTGTGCTGTGTGTGTGTGTGTGTGTGTGTGTGTGCGCGTGTGTGCGCGCGTGTGAACAGCCCCTTCCGCAGTCATTCCCTGTAACCAGTTTTACTTTCAGTTTTGCAGCTGCTGGAAGCGGCAGGATGGAGGTGCCCAGCGATCCAGAAATGCATTAAATGAACAACAGGACGGTGAGGGGTGCCTTCCCCGAGGCCTCTGGGCCAGGACCCCCTGTCTGGAGGTGGGGTAGCCCTCGTAGGGCCGGTCTTGCTGGGGAACAGCCCTGGGAAGGAGCACACAGCGCAGCCCCAGCACCGGAGAGGAAGACACGACCCAGCCGCGGTGGTCCAGCACTCAGAGGGTAGCGGGGACTGAGGGGAGGGGGCCCATGCTCACGCTGAGATATCCACACATGGACCCACTGACCACTCATGGGACCTGTCAGCGTGGGAGGCACCCACTGGGGCAGGCAGACACTGCTTACGAGTCAGAGCCCGTGACACACTTGTGACGGGGGCCCCTGCACCGTCCCAGGACTGTGGGACTGGCACAGACTTACCCTAGAGGGTCCCTGGGCGATGGCCCTGGCTGCTCACCCCTGAAACCAGCTCGGCTGGCTGTGGGTGTGCAGAGGTGCCCCTGCCTGTTTTCCTTCATTAGTGTGGCCAGCCCGTGCATGTGTGCCACGAGGGGCATGGGCAGCGGCTGGGTCTGGCACGTGAGTCTGGGAGTGAGGTAATGGGAAGTGCTGGGACGGAGGCAGAGACACGGGCATCGCAGGGATCAGAGCAGCACTCAGGGAAGGTCTGGGTCAACTAGTGGCGCTTGAGCCAAAAGGTGGTGGCCAGCAGGGCTGTGCAAAATGGCACCGTTCTCTTTTGCCTTGAGTTTTGATGGTTCGGTCTAGCACCAGGGATGGGAGGTCAGCCCAGCTGCGCTGAGTTCGTTTCCCCAGTGCTATAGTCAAAATGTTTCGACTAGCCTCGTTTTGCTTTGAAGCTGTTTCGCAGCCCTTTCTTTTGCTTTGATTTTGCTGTTTCGACCTTGAAAAGAGTTGAAACAGTGTCGAAACAAAACAGCCCTGAGAAATTTTGCACAGCCGAAGTGGCCCACACTGCCCTGCATGATGTCCTGCAGCGTGTGCCACGGCTCTTGTGCATTAAGAAGCCTGTCCCTGCCCTGAGAGAACCGCGGGGGAGAAGGGCGGCTGTGGAGGGGCATCCTGAGACCAGATCCGTCCCTGCCGGGTGATCAGGGCTATCACAGCAAACTGGTCCTTCCCCAAGCCGTCCGTCTCTGCCATCTTAACTCCTGGCAGTGTGATGTGTTTTAATGGCTATGCAGAGCCCTTTTCAACATGCCTACAGCCACGACATCTGGTTCCCGGCCACAGCCCAGAGCAGGGCCCTTGTCCCGGGCAGGGTGGCTCAGGGGCGCAGATGCTTGTATCTGCCAGCTCCTGCTGTGGGTGCGCCTTGCTGCTGTGACACTGCCCAGGTTGGTGCAGAGGTCCCTTCCCTTTGCACCATCCCACCTGCTGCCCTGGCACCGGGGTCACAGCCCTGGGCATACTCAGCCTGCGTTTGTGCTTTTCTCTGCTGTGCAGGCCACACCACCATGAAAAAGGAGGTTTCCTTCTTCGTCAGCCCCTCAGCGAGCCCCTCTCTGCCCGGCTGCATCGCTCTCCTCATCGCTCTCCAGGTTCACCGTCTAGTGGCAGGTAGGACCCCTGCTTCCTCGTGGCATTTGCTGCTTGCTCTCATGCAGAGATCCATTGCCCAGGGCTCCCCACACGGGCAGAGATGTGATCCCATCACCCCCTCCCACAGCCATCCCCCTGGACCTGGCACAGCCCAGGATGGGCACGGAGCTTCCTTCTCGCAGCCTCCCTGCAGGCCTGTGCCAGCCCCGCTCCTGCACCTGTCATCTCGGCTTCACCCTTCTCCCGGAGCCAGCCGAGCCCCGGCCTCTTCCCTCTCCTCCTACCCCATCTCCACTGCTGGTTACAGGCCTTGTCCATGGCATCTCCTACCACTGGGGCGCTCTCCCTTGTCCCTAGTCATGCCTCCAGTTCAGTCTGCGATGAGCCTGTTCCAGGCACTGAGTTCAGGTCTCAGGTCAGTCTCTCTCCCTTGGCTACGGGGTGTCAGCCTCTGGAGTCAGGCAGGAGGCAGGGCAGGGCGGCTCCTTGGATCAGTGGCTCACAACCTGTTTAGACTCCCAACTCACTTGTTAGACTCGAGGCACACCTTGGAAAATGCCAGCTCTTCGCATTCACTCATTTCTTGACTATGGAAAAATTAATAGAGCAATTCCTCTCTTCCAGAGAAGCTTCTGTTGCAGAAGCATGTATCTTATGTGGTTAGTCTCTAGGGGCATTTTTACACATGTGCCAGATGCAGTGCTGGGTGCAGTTGTATAAGTGGCACAGCACGTGTCAGCACTGAGAAAATGGTGGCAGTGCGCTTTGAACTAAAGCACATCAAATGTGTTTTAGTTTAAAGCGCACAGTCCAACACTTTCTCAGTGCTGATGTGCAGTACACCGCTTGTACAACTGCACCTGGAAGAGCTCTCGGTAGATTAATTATGTACTCCAGCAGACTCAATTCATCGAGTGTGCTCCAACATGCTGTGTTTCCAGCATGACGGAGAAGACTCGTGGTCTGTGTGTCAATGCCCTAAAGTACCACCTTGCCCTCCCTTTTGTCTGCCTTTGCTGCTAACCATTTGTCTCTCCTGGATTTACAAGGGCCCGTTTCCCTGGTCTCTGACTCAGGAAACTAAATTCCTGGCTGGGATGCATAGTGCAATGCAGCCAGCAGGCAGGGCCTGAGACTCTTCCCTGAACCCCGTGGGCTGAGGTGCGGCTGGAAGACCCAGGCCTGTTCGTCCTCTGACATATACCTGCCCCGTCCTGTCTATGCATGTGCAGGGCCCTGTCCCTTCTCCTTTGTCACTGCTGGGCCCAGGGCCAGAGAGCTGCCCCGCTGCAGAGGGAGGCCGAGGGAGGCCATGCTGTCCTCTGCCCGCTCCAGCCAGGCTGCTCTGCATGCATGTTTGCCTACGTCTACCTTTATGTAATGCTGCCGTTGAAGCTGCATTGACACAGCTCATGGCTTCTGTCCAGTTTAATTTCCCTCTGGTCTTGCACTCTTCCCCAGCCCAGTTCAGAGTGATTGGACCGGACCAGCCAGTTGTTGTCTCTGTGGGAGCAGTCGCAGTCCTTCCTTGCCGCCTCTCCCCTGCGACGAGCACGGAGAGCATGGAGGTGCGGTGGTTCCGGTCCCGGTTCTCTTCAGTGGTGCACTTGTACCGGGGAGGTCGGGATCAGCCTGGAGAGCAGATGCAGGAGTATGTCGGGAGGACTCAGCTCCTGAAGGACAACATCTCCTCTGGGAGCGTCTCCCTAAGGATACACGGGGTGCGACCCTCCGACCACGGGCAGTACACCTGCTTCTTCCAGGCTGGTGTCTCCTCTGAAGGAACTCTGCTGAAGCTGCAGGTGACAGGTGGGTAGCTCCTGTTACGGTCTGGGCCTGCCCGTAGTGCACTGAATGGGGCTGGAGGGCTTAACGGGAGCAGGTGATAGTTCACTTGTCAGTCCCCAGAATCCCATCTCTGCCTTCACTTCCTGCAGTGTGTGCTCCCTGAGAGAGGAGGGGGATTTATTTCCTGAGAGCAGCCTGGGAGGGTTTTCCATTCACATCCTGACCTCAGGGTAACCTGTAGACTTTGGGGGCTGGAGCACACCAGGGGAGGACCATGGGGCTGGGGCAGAAGGTTTCAGTTTGACAGACTTTTTAACACTTAATTTCATTAACTTGTCATATGTACTGGTGGTGGTAGGGGGATGCTGTAGCTGTGGTCCAGAAGCAATGCAAGAGGCAAGGATTTTTTTGGTTGATATCTTTCATGGCTATATTGATCTTTATGCAATTGTGATTATATTGGATATATTTTGATATTTGTACATATGTTGGATATATTGATTTTGATGTGATTTTTCATATATTGATTTTGAGGTGAGAGGCCAACCCCTGTCTCTGGCATAACAATACATAGCCCCTCCCTTCGACAAAGTGAGCTGTGAGGAGTGTGGGGACTTTTCATGTGTATGGATGCAGACAGGAGAGTCCTAACCCCTGCATAGAGTGTTTCACTGGATTTTCTCTCCAGTCTCCAACCCTTCTGTAATATGGGTGAAACACTGGGGGCTCTGGGCTTTACACCCTGTCGTGCTACTCATCAGCCAGTTCACATGCTGGTAGCTGTGCCCAGGGGATGTTTGCTGGTCTCCTCGCTCGTCACCTTTTCTGTATCATTGAAAAGGATACCCTGAGAGAAACGCAGTGTGTTTATTAGTGACAAGATAACACAGCTCATCTAGAGACCAACCAGGACACTCTCCTTACACCAGTAGCTGTAGCCTGGGCCCAGGCTGTTGGAGCGGAGGCCAGTTCATCTCTCCCCTTCAGTGCCTGCTGGGTGTATTTTCATGCCATTTATCACACCTTGTCAGGTCACGGCCCAACCCTGGGTGCAGCCCAGACCGAGCCCCCAGCCTCTTTCAGAATAAGCTCAGAGGAAGATTACACACAGGCAGATTCACCAGTACGACCTGGGCATGGACGTGCTGGACATGTCTCGGCTGCTGGGCCTCACTGCCTGTCCTTTGCTCATCCTGCCTGGCCTTTGGTGACGTGCTGAGCCCCGCCAGGCCTGACACGCAGCTCGGACCAGCACATCTCTGAGTTTGGAGCTGAGAACTGGAAAGCTATCAGTGCTTCCTTGTGTAACACCCCATCTCACCTCTGCCCCAGCATCTAGGGGAGTTTCCCAGGGTGACAGCCTGAATGACCTTCCTGCCAGAAAGAAAGAAGAGAAAGAAAGATGGATGGAGACTGAGGGAGCACACCGAGCTCCTGGTTTGGGGGAGGGCACGTGTGGGTGCACTTGGCCCCGAACATGAGCGAGAGAACGGGTGAATCTGGTGCGTGGATACGTGTGGCATGTCTGGGCTGTGCTGGAAGAGAATGGCACAGACAGGGACCCCTGGATCAGGGAAGGGGTGGGGATGTTGCAAAAAGTTCTTCACTGCATGTGGTTTGATAGGCCTGAGCCTCATCCTGTCTCTCCCCATCCAGCCGGCTCCTCTCCCTGGTCAGGGGAAGCACCAGATAGTGGACAGAGGAATGGCTATACCATGCTAACGGAGGGAGGGACTTAGCCCTCAGGGGCACACCTCTCAGATCTGCTGGAAGTGGAAGTTAAATCAGTGTACCTCAAACCCATGTGGGTAACGTTCATACAGAACAGCCTGATGAGCTATAACTTGCTAGAGCATAAAAGCGAATGTAAAAGGGTTCGTGCGGCTGAGAAGAGCCAAGAGTTGTGGCTTGTAGTCCATGCCAGGAGGTCTGATTGGGGGCTCAGGTTCAGAGCTTGCTCACGGCGCTCGTTGGGTCCGGCCTAGATTCATAGGACACTATTTGTTATCGAAGCCCTATTTAAATTCAGCAGGTACTTTAATTCAGCCAATCAGAACCAACCTTCTAACATATGTCAGATGTATGGTGAGATGCACCAAAACCCATGGGATCTCATTTGCTCTCGTATGAGTTGATCAGCATCACACAGTGAATGCATTGGGAAGCTGCGCTGCCCTCGCACTGCGTGAGAGTCCGGATCTGTGCCAGGCGCTGGGTTGGATCCCGCGTAATCAGGCATGCTCGGTGCAGGGCACAGGGCTGCGGCTGGGGGGTGAGAGCACCCACGGAGATGGACGGAGCAGGTCACCCCCTTTAAGCTCTCTCCAGGCTGTGTTCATGTCGCAGGGGCTCTTGCACAGCTGAGAACAGCACATTGATGTGGGGGGGCCACATTGCACCTCCCTGGGCCTCCTGTCCTGCACATCGACATGCAGCTCCCCTGGCTTAGATACCAGCTCCCAGCCTGGGGCAGAGACTCTGCATCTCCTCTCCCCTGTGCCTCTCTAGATCACTGCCCATTTCTAGTCCACCCCTCCTCCCCCTCCAGCAAAAGACAGTCACAAGCAGTGTGTAAGTGCAGCTTGTGCAGCTGGGTAAGTGGGGTTTGGGGGCTTCAAGTGAAATAGGATCCAGGGTCTAGCCCTGTGAGTGTAGCGAAGGGAACAGGCCTCCCAGACAGCACAGGGCCCATTCTCCAGCGTTTATCCCGTAGCTTGCTCTGCTGAGGGTCCGGAGCAGGCTCCTTCCTGAAGGTCTGAGCTGTTGATGGAGCAGGAGGGGCTGGGATTTCCAAGGCCAAAAATGGTATTTTGCAGTCCACGTCCCTTAGGAATGAACAGGAGTTGAGTACTCGTATCCTAGCAGTGGTGCTGGGCAATTCCCCCGTACGTCTAGAGCAGTTGTGTCAGATTAGGGACTGTGGGTGAATCCCGTATGTGGAGCAGAAGCGTTCAGCCTGTGGGGCTTGTAGAGGGGCTGGGGATTCAGGCAATGGGCAAGTGGGGATGGGGCCTGCTGCCAAAATCCGGGGCATGGAGCCCTGTTGGTGACGTGTGCCAGTGGTGGGGTGTGAGCAACTGGGTTGAGCAGCACGTGTCCATGGCAGGGGTTAAGTCTCACCACTGCTCACCCCACCGCTGCCATTACCTGTAGCACGGTGACTGCTGCTGCCATTTACCCTACCACCGCCACTGGTTGCACCGCTGCCACTGCCACTGCCCCCGTGCTGTGTCCAGACCCAGCCCACAAGGATCTTTGCAGTCAGCACCGGCCCAGGGGATGGGCGAGTTTGAAGCCCTGGTCTAGACCTAACGCAGGATTTGTCTGTTCCTCTCCAGCACTGGGCTCTGACCCCCACGTCTCTGCTGAGGGTCACCAGGATGGAGGGATCCAGATGGTGTGTCGATCAGCTGGGTGGTACCCAGAGCCCGAGGTGCAGTGGAGAGATCACCGTGGGCAGCTGTTACCACCAGCCTCTGAGAAGATGTTCACAGACACTGCCGGGCTGTTTCACGCAGAGGTTTCTGTTGTGATCATGGCAGAGTCGAACCAGAACGTGACCTGTGCTGTCAGGAGCCTGTTCCTGAACCAGGAGAAAACAGCCACCATCAGTATTGCAGGTCAGTGCCTGCCACGCCGTGAGCACGGCGTTGGGGTGGGGAGGGTGATCACTGCTCACGTGTTGGACATGTAGTGAGCCATTTCCCCGGGCAGCACAACAGCCCGTCTGTGCTGCTCTCAGAATCCCATAGTTCCCAGGCTTACAGGGACACGGGAGTTTGCAGCGACACCGACACCAGGACTCAGGCCAAGCGCCCTGTGGCTGAGACGAGAGCTGGGCCTGGGTGAGCCAGGTAGGGCCAGGCAGTAAGTCCTGGCCAAGGTTTGCAAATGCTGCTAAGGACTGAGGGTGCCTCCACTTTGGGCACCCAACTAAGACACCTGAGGGAGCCTGGTGTTCAAAGGCAGGTGCTCAGCACGGCTCCACTCCCAGACCCTCGGGGGGGTCCCAGGCTGAGTGTCCAGAGTCACTGGGCACTGCCGCTGCTGTCAGGAACTGCACAAAACATGGAAGTCCAGAGTATGACTCTTGAACTTGGAGTAGCTGGAATTAGAAATGAGGTGTGAGGTGTGAGCAGGGCAGGATGAAGCCTAGGACACACTCCCCTGGGCTGGCCTGGATCCTTCCTCTCCAGGTGTGCTTGGTTTCAGCTGGGAGGTGCTTCTCAATGACAGGCTTTAGCCAAGCGCTGGTATTGCTGTAGTCAGACCTGCATGACTGGGCTCAGGGCAGGGGAAACCAGGTCATCCATAAAATCCTGTGTCTAAAAGGGGTCAGATTAGACTCTCCACAGTCACCTGAACCCCTCCCTGCTGCCTGTGTGTGCTCTGGCTTTTCCTTGCAGAGCCCCACGGTGCACACAGGGTCTCTGGGTGCACAAGGAGACTCAGGGGTGCAGCTCCCTGGGTGCGCAGTGACATCATGGTCACTCATGCACGAATCCCATAGTTCCCAATTCCTGGTGAGAGGCTGTAGTTCCCAGTGCCTGCTCAGGGTATAATCAAATACCACATTTCAGGTCAGGAAGGAATTTTCCCCTGTGACATTAATGTTACAGACCATGGGGGGATGGGTTGCCTGCCTGTGTAGCAGAGGGAGTGGGGGGAGGCAGAGGGCATTGTCACCAGATTTGCCCGTCACTTTGGGCTGCACTCATTTATTAGGGATACGTTTCTGGGCTCTCTGTAATTCTATCAATGTGCTGCTTGTGTTACTTCTTTTTCTGTTTGGAGCTGTATCTCCTCCTTCTGCAAGTCCTCACCCCCAATGGAGCTGTCTTGCAAGACTCAGTTTCAGGGTGGCTGGGTTCCTCCAGTCACCAAATCAATCAAATACACACACACACACACACACACACACACACACACACACACACGCAGATTAAAGTGACACGCCTGACCTGGCTGGGATCATCAGCATGTACAGGCTGACACCCTCATCTGCCAGGAACCACTTAATCAAGGTAACAACACACTGCAGTCAGACACGAGCACACAGGTGAACAGAAGACCTCTGCATCCGGCTGGGTGTCCAGCTGACCCCCTCGTGGGCCAGCATTCAGTTCATTGGGGCATGTCTGAGCCAAACTGGGTCAATCAGCCTGTACAAGCTGATTCCCTTCTGTCTCTCCAACTCAGCACATCACAGTCTTTTGCCCTAACTGTCCTAGTAGTGGTAGCCTCTGGATGAGCGGACCCTGCAGTATTTTGGGGCTTCACAGGGATCTTTGGCTTAGGTAAAAGAAGCGTTGCTGCAGAGCACGTGTGAAGGGGAAGTAGAGAAGGAAAAATACACCCGGTTACCACCAGTTTGACCATACAGCTATTTATTGCTAAATATATGAAATTATGATGTTACTAGTAGTAATAGCCATGCAAGGGAAAACAAACAGAAACAATTACAATATTACCCTGGCTCAGTTGAGTAACTGGGGAAACCTAGCTCATGATTAACTAATACTAATTCAGGTTCAGAAAGCTATGCCTAGAGAGAGAGAGAAAGAGAGCGAGAACGAGAGCTGGGATCTCCCCGTCCCAAGGCACTCGGGCGGTTTGTTGGCAGGCAAAATTCCCAGCACGATCCTTGAAGGTTAAACAGGCGATGGAAAGAGAGGATCTGTTTCTCCCAGCTTCTTGAGAACAACAGTGGACGGTGTCACAGAGATTTCTCTCTCTTGAAGCACACTGTTTGCTGCTTTACACCTTTCTTATACCCTTAGTCCAGCCTCTTGAAGGCACTCTTTTAGTTGTGGAAATCAAGAGGGTCCCAAGCCATAATTGGCAGGGCAAATCCTGTTACAGGAACAGTTTCAATGTACATGAATTACCTTTTCCAGTGACAAGGGGTTATCTGGTTTGGAACATCTCAAGAAACGGATTAACAACCAGGAAAAACATAAGGTTTTAAGGAGTAACCAGAGACCTAGGAGCCAGCTTGAAATGCTTATGAATACAGAAGTAAACTGGAAGGGATACCACGGTGTTTCTTCTCAGATGGCCTAGCTATGCTCGCACTGTCAAGTCAGCATCTGTGTTTTGTATTTTACCCGTTGTGAATAAGCCTCTGCTTAGCATGACTTTCAGATCTTACTGTAGTCTTTTAACAGACTTAAGGGCATTACTTGAAGTGCTCATAAACTTTGTGGGGAGGACTTCCACCAGTCATCCTGGGAAAAATAGGACAGCATTTGTGGCCACGGCTCCAACAGGCTGGACATCGTGATGAACCCTGAACCATTGTTCGAATGTTGCCCATATCCTCTCAGACTCTGTCTCTTGGCTCAGCATTCCCTAACCCGCCAACCAAGATCCAGTCAATCAAGTTTAAAAAGGCCTCCCATACTGAGACTGGGAACGTACAGCCCGAGATGCCTATTACATTTTTGTTCTGCTTAGTTGTGGTTCGGTGAGGTGTGGGGAGGGGGAAAGAAAAAGTCCTTTGTAAGTCCAGCAAGCTGGGTGCCCGGGCTCCCTCGGGAACACAGAGCTCACGGTTAACACACGGCTCTCTTCCTTGGGTCTCTGAAGTGTATTTAACAACTTTGCAGTGGCAGGATGTAGACAGTGTCCTTGTCCCCTGCTTTTTGCATGTCAGGTGAGGCTGTTCTTGGTGTCCTCGACTGTGTGTCTTTTACCTGTGCGAGAGGGTCATTTGTGCAGTGTTTGGAACAGGCTAGACAAGCGCGTGTGTGGGATGGTCGGGGTAGGGATGATCCTGCCTTGAGCAGGGGCTTGGACTAGAAGAGACCTCCTGAGGTGCCTTCCAGCCCTACTTCTTGTGATTACAGGAGCCCATGTAATTCTGTTTCCTATCAAATCCCCTAATAATAATTATTGCCCTTACTGTGTGGTCACAGCTAGAATGACATGGGGATAGCAAAGACACGGGGTCCATGCAGCACTGTTCATCTCGGGGCCTCTGGTTGCTGCAGCTGCTGAGATCAGCGCACGGTTCATAGGGAGCATGAAGGGCCCTCACCAGTGCATCGGGCTGGAGGCTCAGAGAGGAGAGCCCTGGGCTCTGAGTGCCCTGACTCACTCTGTGCACATCCAGAGCACTGGGAGGGGAGGAGAGGAGACACAAACCCAGATACAGGACCAGGCTCCCAGGGAGACAGGACAAGGGGCTTCCCATCAGCCTGTGCTGTGAAAGCTTCAAACATGGGCAGGGCTCCCAGACTTGCCCCCTCCCCCCCCCTGTAGGGCAGCGACCCCCCAGACATGGCACCGTGCGAGGGGCTCTGGAGCCATACGCGCTGCTTTGGGCTCTGGGGTGCACGTGCAGAGCTTGCACAGCAATCCCAGCACGGGGCTGTGCTGCACCATGCACACATCCCCTGAGAGACCTCACTGCTCCTTGGGACACGTCCCCATGACCCTGCACCTGGGGCTGCACTGGCTGCACTGCCCACGCTTTGGCTAACCCCCAGACTGCTCCTGGTACCTGCACACACTCTCCTGGTTCTCTGGTGCAAGGTCTGACTTGAGTCTAGTTCTACTTTACCCATGAGAGTTAACATGCTCACAGCCCTTGGGACAGCACTGCGAATGGGTTTGGTGTTGGTCCATTGGGAGCTGCTGGGGGGAGAGAGCAGGGGCAGGAATCCCCTGAGGGCCACAGCTGGACACGGCCGGCCGGGGGACAAGCTGCTGGGCCAGACAAGGGGGCCTGCCTCCCCGGCCGGCATTCGCTCGGTGCCTGCAGCGCTGCAGGGGACAGCGTCTGTGGGCGGCATTGACGGCACTCGAGCACCTCAGTCCTGACTGCGCCCCTGGGGTCGGCCTGCGCCGCCTGGCACGAGGGGTCACACTGAGATTCAGGACAAGCTCACACAGAGCTGTTTTCAGCCTCTGACTGGAGGAACATTGGTTGTCTTTGGTGATGTGCTGGGTGAGGAGCCACTTCCCACGAGGGTCTCATGATGCCCTGAGGAAGGGGAGGTCGCTATCTCTCTTCCCTCGGGCTGGCAGAGGTTTCTGCATGCAGGGGTTGTGCTGCTGGGTCTGGTTTACTCCTGCAGTGACCACTCTGCTGCCTCAGGGCAGGGGCAGGACAGTGGGTGCATTAGCTGGGCTGGAGCTGGGCTCCCAGTGCGCTAAGCATGAAGCACGGAGGAGCCCCGTCAGCCTGAAATCCAGGAGGAGGGTCCCCGGGAAAGCCACTGCTGCCCCCAGCCCTGTGCATTTACTCACGCAGGGCTGCCAAGTGATTGACACTTTCTCTTGCAGGTCACTTTTTCCCCCGGGTCTCCCCCTGGATGGTGGCTCTGGCTGTGATTGTACCCATCATGTTGGTGGTCATTGTCCTGAGCTTCTGCCGTGCAAAAGGTAATGTGACAAGGTGGGGAGGGGAGAGCTCCTCTGAGATGGGACAGGACAGGGTGGACGGGTCTCCATCCACTGCTCTGAGAGGAGCTCCAAGCCCCAGGGATGGACTGAAGCTCTGGGAGAAGTCTCTGAGCAGGCCAGACCCCACATCTGAGCCAGGAAAGGGGCCACATGGATTCCCAGCCCTGCAGCTCAGTGGGGAACCCAAACCGAACCCTGCAGCGAGCGGTCATGCCGGATCAGTGCTGCTCAGCTGGAAACACGGATGAGGAGGGGAAGCTCTGTGCTGGGCAGCTATGGACGTGTTTGT